CGGGCTAAGAACTTTCGCCACGGGCCTTTGGCCCCTTCGTAAACGAAATTCGGTCTCGAAGACCTCTCATAATCAATTCTAGAACACGGTCAAGACTCCTCTGTGAACTATATGTACACGATCGAGACCAATGTTAGGTCAAGACCCTCCGTGTAGGATAGAATACGACCAATGCCCCTCTGTGAACTAAAAGAAGTATATAATCACGGATATTTTTCTAGTCGATCTCAAAATCATGTCTCATATTCCAATTCACAATGTACAGTATATAATCTTGAAATCCCACATATATCATAATAAAAGATATTTCCATAATAACCATGTAATTCGAACACATAATTGCATATACTTTAACAATAAACTTAATTTATAAATACTTTAAAAATATTTATATTTTTCCATGCACAGTACTATGTTCACAAAATCAACCCGATTGGTAAGCTGTTCTGATATCAGTATCGTCGCCTGAAATACGATATAATTTTGAAATAAACAATTAATTATTTTAAATAATTTCAATAATTAAATAGGCGATATCCAAACTTAATCATTTCACGTTTGGACGATTTCTACAGTCTCTTTAATCACTAAAACTAGTTTTTCTTTCACTTTACTCAATTTCATAGTTTATTATACTTAACCCCTTTAATAAAATTGAATTTAGTCTAACAATCTAACAACTATAAAATCAAATATAACTTAACAATAAGTAACTTTTTACTTACCTTTCAAAATTGAGAAATTTAAGTCTAATAGTGTAGACCACTTAATTCCTAACACGTTGACAAAAAATTTCTATTTTTTTTTCTTCTTCGTCTTCCCTCTTTTTTTTTTTTTTTTTTTTTTTTTTTTTTTTTTTTTTTTTTTTTTTCTCTTCCCTCTTTTTTTTTTTTTTGTTTCTCTTTTCTCTTCTCTTTTTCTCTTTCTTTCCCCGTGCTCTCGGCTTCTCTCTGTATATATGTTTGAAATGGATTTGTTTTAAGTGTGAATTGGATTGATTATATCAATCCAATCACCGCCTGGCTTTTTTTTTTTTTTTGTCTTGGCTTGATAGTTTTGACTTTTCATTTTTTATTTATTTATTTTTTTAAGGTATTACACACGCAGGCGATGAAGAACCAGAGAGAGAGAGAGAGAGGAAAAATTCTGGAACCAAGAAAATGAAAAGAATCTACCGTCCATTTCTCTCTCCAATAGTCATATTGGATTCAAAAATTAAATCCCAGCCATTCATTCAATTAGACAAATCTCAACCATTCAAAAGAAGCACAATCTTTGGCACAAGTAACCATCCATTTGGGTGCTGCCACGTAATGATCTCCTTACCCAAATGCAGCTGAGTCAAATGTCAAGAATGACACTAATTTGAAAGTGTTTTGAGAAACACACTCTTTCATTTCTTCACCTTGGTTCTCAATAACATTTGGCTCTTTGGTTGCGTAATTTGCACAAGGAACATTTAGTTCCTCGTCATCGTCCTTACCTGCAAAAGAAATTAAGCTGTGTCAATATGAAGCATAGTTAAACAGGACTTGAACTTATTAACAGATAAAACTTTTGTTCCCATATCTGAGGGATTTTTATCAGTATGAACTTTAACCAAATTAACTTCACCTGTAGAGATTTTATCTCTAATAAAATGATACTTCACCTCGATATGTTTCGACATTTCATGATAGACAGGGTTCTTATCAGTAATAGTACACTTTGACTGTCTGTCAAAATGGTGGGAGTATCATACAAGAAGTTCAATTCATTCAAGATTCCTTTTAACCATAAACATTCTTTTACAGCTTCAGTAATGGCAACATATTCAGCTTCGGTGCTAGATAATGTTACTATAGACCGTAGTTGAGACTTCCACGTTATGCAATTGTCTCCTAGTGTAAAAAAGTAAGCTGTGGTTGATTTTTTGTTATCTTTGTCACCAGTAAAGTCCGAATCCACATACCCTTTTAAGGTTAGTTTCTCAGTCCTTTTTTCATACACAAGGCCTAGATTTAAAGTACCCACTATGTATCTTAACAACCATTTTAAACCTGCCCAATGTGGTTTACCGAGGTTGGACATAAATCTACTTAAAAAACTAATTGCATAAGCCAAGTCAGGTCTTGTAGTTATCATAGAGAACATAATAGAACCTATGGCATTAGCATAAGGTATGTTCTCCATCTCTCTCCGTTCTTCCTTAGTTTTAGGAGAATGGACACTAGAAAGGTTCATGTGGGCTGCTAAAAGGGCACTGGTAGACTTGGATTCCTTCATTCCAAACTTGGTTACGACTTTATTTAGGTAGGCTTCCTGTGAAAAACCCAATTTATTTTCAGGCCTATCTCTTCTTATAACCATCCCTAGAATCTTCTTAGCACTCCCCAAATCTTTCATGTCAAACTTAGATTTTAAAAGATTTTTGATTGTAGTGATTTCAGAGTTACTTGAGCCACTTAGGAGCATGTCATCCACATACAACAGTAAGTACACCTCATGTCCCCTCTTAGAATTATTATAGTACAAACAAGCATCATAATCACTTTTTTTAAAACCTATTTTAAGTACATAAGAGTCAAAACGTTTGTACCATTGTCTTGGGCTTTGTTTGAGCCCATACAAGGATTTTTCCAGTTTACACACAAAATTAGCTGTGCCCTTCATCTCAAAGCCTTGAGGCTGATACATATATATATATCCTCTTCCAATTCCCCATGTAGGAAGGCAGTCTTAACATCAAGTTGTTCTAGTTCCCAATTATACTGAACAACTAAGGCAAAAATCAGTCTAATTGTTTTATATTTGATCACAGGTGAGAATATCTCATTGTAGTCAACCCCTCATTTTGTGTAAACCCCTTAGCTACTAATCTAGCTTTATACCTAGGAGGATCATTAGGATTATTCCATTCTTTGAGTTTGTAAATCCATTTACATTGCACTATCCTATGATTCTTAGGCTTATTAACCAACTTCCATGTTTTATTTTCCATTAGGGATTGCATCTCTTCTTCCATTGCCTTTTTCCACAAAACAGATTTTGGACCACTCACAGCTTCTTCAAAAAGGTTCAGTTTGTTTAATGGTTTCACCATACACCAAGGCAAAATCAGTTAGGTTTTGAGATTCATATCTTGGGTTAGGTCTTCTTTCCCTTCTTTCTCTATCCCTTCTAAGTTGGTAATCTTGGATTGAAGTGATTTCATTTGAGGGATCAGTATTTTTCAGCTTGAGGTTTATTTAATTCAATAGGTTCAGGTTTAGGTTCTTGTTTTGTGTTAAAGGGATTTCAATTTCACCTTCTTCAGGTTGGAGTAAATTAAATCTAGTTAACTTCACCTCAGTCTTAGCACTTTTTTCATTTCCAGGTTCTGCTGGTTTATCATTTTTCTGTTTTAGGCATGGCATTTCAGATTCATTGAAAACCACACCTTTGCTATTAATGATTTTTATGCTTGGTTTACCCAAAACCCATAACGTGTACCCTTTAACACCTTCAGGATAGCCTAATATCACACATTTGGTGGCTCTTGGCTCTAATTTTTCCTCAAACTGATGTGCATAAGCTACACATTCAAATACCCTTATGTGTGTCAGACTTGGTGGTCTTCCTGTCCAAAGTTCCTGTGGTGTTTTAAAATTCACAGAACTTGGTGGAGACCTATTAATCAAGTATGTAGCTGTACTAACTGCTTCTGCCCAAAAACCTTTGGCTAAACTTGAGCTAATAAGCATACACCTGACCTTATTCATGAGAGTCTTATTCATTCTCTCTGCTACCCCATTTTGTTGGGGTGTTAACTCGACTGTTCTATGCCTCATTATTCCCTTTTGTTTGCAATAGTTGTCAAATTCAAAGTTACAAAATTCAAGACCATTATCAGTCCTTAAAGTTTTTAACTTCTTGTCTAATTGATTCTCAACTATCTTAAGCCAGTATCTAAATTTCTGAAAAGTTTCAGATTTGTCCTTCAAGGGGTAGACCCAAACTTTTCTGGAATAATCATGCACTACAGACAAAAAATACTTATTTTCCCCAAACGTAGGATGTTTTTTAGGTCCCCACAGGTCTGCATGCACATAGTCCAATGGTCTATTAGTACTATAGGAATTTGTTTCAAAGCTTACCCTATGAGACTTACCCAACACATAAGTCTCACAGAAATTCAAAGGTTCAATGTCATCCTTACCAAGTAATTTTTGGTTACTTAGGTACTTTAAACCTTTATTACCAATATGACCCATCCTATTGTGCCACAACTCAGATTTATTCTCTGTAACATTCAGCAGACTGGGGTCAGGTGCAGACATGGTATTACCCTCAAGGTAGTACAAGCCATTTCTCCTAGGTCATTTCATGACAATTAATGACCTTTTAATAATTTTTAGGACCTTATTATCAGATTTAAAAATATACCCCTCATCCTTAAGAACCCCTAATGAGATTAGGTTTCTTTTAAGGTTGGGTACATATCTCACATTTCTTAATGTCCTAACAATACCATCATGCATTTTGATGGCAATATCACCAATCCCAACAACAGCCTGAGAGTTATTGTCTCCCATATAAACCTTCCTAGGTTCTATATCCTTATAATTATAGAACCATGATTTTATGGGACTCATGTGAAAGGTACAACCAGAGTCTAATATCCAGTCTTTATTGCTTTCATCACTAGTTACAGTCATTACATGTAGACTATCAAGTTCAGGTCCCACAGTTGCATTATTTAATTCCTCATTGTTTTGATCTTTTTGTTTCTTTTTCCAGTCAAAACAATCCCTTCTGAAGTGACTTATCTTACCACAATGGTAACATTTTTTATCACTCTTGTCTCAAGATTTTGATCTCCCTTTTGATTTCCCTCTTGATTTTTTATGATGAAATCCAATTTCCATCTTCTCTGGTCTTTCCCTAACAAGCATACTCTCATCTCTAGGGTTAGACCTATACTCTTTCCTTACCTCTAGTTCTCTAGCTCTTAAGGCATCTATCATTATAGCTTGGGTCAACTAATCCCTAGAGTACTTAATAGTATTCCTAATATCTTTATGTGATTCAAGCAATGCATTCAATAAAATCACAGCAAGGTCTTCATCATCAAAATTTTTATTATTGTGTGCCAAACTCTTAACAGTAATACTAAAGTAACTTAGGTTCTGTTCTAAGTCCTTTCCTGGGTCCATTCTGAAACTAAATAGTTTTTCCAAAAGATAGATTTTATTTGGTAACGTTTTAGTAAGAAACATATTGTCAAGAGCAGTCCATAAATCTCTAGCAATCTCAGACTCATCAATTTGTCTAATGATGTTATGAGATAAATGCAAAATTATCGAACTATATGCAATTTCGAATCTCTTCAATTTCATTTGGTTTTACTTTAAGTTCATCAGGAAATTTGTCTGGATCATCAAGGGCTTTTGCAACCCTCTATTGGACCAAAATGACCCTCATTTTCTGTTTCCATACTGGGTAGCACTCATGGACATAATGTGATCTTATGTACAGATCAAACTATTAATAGAAAAGGTTTTGAAAAGTTTTCCAATTTAAAGCACTTAACAAAATGCAGTAATTGAGGCAGATTAGTATGATTTTTGATCAAGAATTATATCAATGTCAATGAATGATCACAATGACAGTAATTATGTATCAAGAATTGCAAGCTGCAGTCTTAAGCAATTTCGAAACATAAAATATCATTAATCAGACCTATGTTCATGCAAGTCAGATATAACTTCCATACAAGAAAGCATTCATTTAGATACATATATCAAAAATCATGCGTCAATAGTTCAACAATTATAAAGATTTATGGAAATTTCTCACCGAACCACTGTTTGTGAAAAAACAATAAAAACGGAATAGTTCTGAGACCAAGAATGCAATCACCAGTGGCCAAGTGGTGATAAGTTCACCGTTGGTCATTGAAAAATCACAAAGCCAGATTATTAGTACCAAACAAAATTTCGACAGATTCTTTGAAAAAAATAATAATGGTAGATCAAAAAATATTTCGAAATCCCCAAATAATTTTTTTTCTTTCTTTCTTTCGACCCAAAGAAAAATTTAGTAAAAAAGCACGTCTAGAAGCCCTCTTGGCTCTAATACCAGTTTGTTGGAAAATTATGGATGATAAAGAACTGTAATCGAACACAATATACTAAAGTACTCAAATGATAAAACGAAAATAAGATAAAACAACGGAGATTGTTGGCCCAGTTCGGCCAAACGCGGCCTAATCTGGGGGGCTCAGGAACTGAACCCGTTCCACTATGAAAATCACCGTTCAAGAGAACCAAAATTACATCAAACCACTCAGAATACACAAGTGTCGATCATCGATCAAAGGATCTACGAAACCAAACACAAATCTTTCCACAACACTTAACCCTAACCAACGGTAAGCCAAATCGAAAACAGCAGAGGCTCAGAATCACGCCTCAATTTATTGTAGCATCATGATTTTATAAGGGCTAATCTAAAACTAGGATTTAATCTGAGAAATATATAACTAAAAAACCAAGAAAGGAAGTGAAGAAATCGCACACAGGCGATGAAGAACCAGAGAGAGGAAAAATTCTAGAACTAAGAAAATGAAAAGAATCTACCATCCCTTTCTCTCTCCAATAGTCATATTGGATTCAAAAATTAAATCCCAGCCATTTATTCAATTAGACAAATCTCAATCATCCAAAAGAAGCACAATCTTTGGCACAAGTAACCATCCATTTGGGAGGCTGCCCCGTAAGGACCTCCTTGACCCAAATGCAACTGAGTCAAATGTCAAGAATGGCACTAATTTGAAAGTGTTTTGAGAAACACACTCTTTTAGCTTTATTAAAATATACTATACCTTAAGATTAGCTTCTATTGATCAAGATTAGTTCTGAATTTTATTTGTCAAAAAGTATTGGCAGATGGAACATTCCCCTCTAATCATAAGACTCATAACTTGGTATTAGTCCAAGAGGCATTTGCATACATGGCCAATAATGTTATGTGGTATTGGCACCTCTAAGTTTATATTTAATAGACATACAATCAAGTTCTTGGTCGAAAATAAAGCCCGAAAATCATGAAATAGTAATATTCTGGCCTTTCTAGCTTTGAACAAAGAAATGTTGAACGAGTCCAGGCAACTCTTGCTAGAAATGGAAAATAAGTTAACATATCATCAGAAAAAGTACAAGGGAATCAGACATTCCACAAAGGATGCCAAAGAAAATAAATTGATAAGAAATATTGCTAAATCTTTAAAGCATTCTCCATATCGACTAAAATTTATTGACTAATGAACTTTTACTTGTCAGGAGTCAAAGATGTTAGTGACTAGGATAGATTTCACATCGACTTAATTTATTCCTTTATGAAAACTAGTTGTTACTTTTATCTTTCCTTGTATAGTGACTGGTGGCAATTTATATTATGGTCTACCTGTTAAAGTCGTTACCGTCGAACCATTGACACTTTCATTGTTGCTGTTGCATGATACAGGACCAGTCGACCTGAAAGACCTTACACTAAATAAACCAGTCTCCGGGTTCAACTAATATTTCAAGCTCATCATGCAGCATGGAGACCACTTCAGACATTGTTGGACTTTCTTCGGCCTGATGCTGGACACACAATAGGCCAACTTGGATGCATCGAGAAACTTTAGTCTCATTGCACGACCCTTCTAAAACTAGATCCATCAGTTCCAAAGCATGTCGCTCTTTCCACAATGTCCATGCCTGAAAAAGTTCAATATCATGTCCACGTCCAGCTTAAACATTCCCCAGGGGCAAGCACAGAAGTAAAAAAGAACTTACAGAGTAAACGTCATACTTACATGTTGGCCATGCAAGTTGGATATACTCTATGTTGGATATCCATGCACATTGGCCATAAAAATTGGAAAACCTGCACTTTGGGAGGAAAATTGGAAAAAATGTTTGTCTTAATAAAAAATTTATGCTCGCACTGAAAAAAATTTCTGGCTCCGCCCCTGATGGAAACCTCAGTTCTTTTGGCCACTTATAATCTCTATTGCCAAAACACCAAAACTGTACACATCTGACTTCATTGAGTAGTGGCCTTTTATCACATACTCCGGTGACATGTAAACCACTACAGCCATGACAAAGGAACCACTTAAAAGTAGAACTATATTTTTTTGATCAAAATTTTTCTGCAATTGAAATACAATATTTGTATGTGTTAGCTTTACTCACTATGTTCCGATCACTCTCCTAGTAGTTTCCTCTCTCTTGTTTTCGAAAATCCTTGCCAGACCAAAGTCAGATATTTTGGGGTTCATCTCATTATCTAGCAAAACATTACTTGCCTTCAGATCCCGGTGGCTTATCCTCAATACGGATTCATAATGAAGATAATTTAATCCCTTGGCAACTCCCTTAAGAATGACAAAGCTCTTTTCCCAAGGCAGTAATATCTTCCTGGCTTCATCTGCAAATGATATCACACCAAATCAACAAAAAATGATTTCCTTCAGTTGCATTGTATGAGGTAATGAAGAATCCGTAGAATGTAAGATGGTTGTACTAAATATAAATTGGTCAAGGCTCTTATTAGGCATGTACTCATAGACTAGCATTTTTTCTTCTCCTTGAATGCAGCATCCCAAAAGCTTAACTAGGTTTCGGTGCTGAAGTTGTGCAATCAATGGGACTTCATTCTTAAATTCTTGGAGCCCTTGATATGAATTCTGTGACATCCTCTTTACCGCAATGTTCTGTCCATCTAGTAATTGACCCTAATCAGCGTGATGTGGAACATTTTCGGTATCAGCATATCGGAAAAAAAACTTCTTTTCTTACAAATGATATTTACCTGATAAACAGGACCAAAACCTCCTTGTCCAATCTTATTGTCCGGGGAGAAATTATTGGTAGCTGCAGCAATTGCGTTTATATTAATCAATGCAACATCTTAATCATTCTCCTCACCTCCTGCAGGACCTATTTAAAGCATGTTTTCTAATTGAGCTGACCAAAGGAAATAAATTGGGGAAAAAAAAAAAAAAAAAAGAATTGATAATTTTAATG